TAAATAAAAATAAAGAACCCGAAGACAATTGTAGATACTAACAATCGAATCGTCGTGAACTGACGTGACTTGGAATCTCTCAACTTTTTATTTGGATTTTCTTTTTTCATTTCTTTATTTTTATTTATTTTTGTTCAATTGTTCTATTTTACTTGTATTTTATTCCACTATTATTTCATTGCAGGTTTTTTTGCTTAATATAATTGTTATTTTCTGCTATTCATTTTTAATTCTTCTTTTTTAGTTGTTTCAGGGATTTCAAATCATTTTATGGAATGGAAGTCCGAACTAGTGAAATTCATATTTAGAGGTTGGCCAAAAATGTAAATGACCATGATGGATTATCCATCATGCCCATTTACATTTTTGAAAAAACTGTGTTCACGAATCAAACATGTTTTATAGTCTTGAATTCAAGTACAGATCTGACTGATAGTCAGATATCTGTAATAGTGTACCTTTAGCGAAGTTATAGAGTTCGCATGTATACAAATGCCATGAACTCGAAACAAAACGGTTCACTAACCATTCCAGTGAGAAAGTAGCTGAACTCTAGGATCGGTCTTCTGATCTATTTGATTCTTTATGAAAACAGGATCTTGCTGTGTCAATACATATTAAGGAACCTGAGAAATAACATCCAAACTACCGTCAATCCAAGCGAATCATCCATAGCCCGACAACAGCTTTGAACCCATCCTTTTCCACTCCGCTTATATCAAAAGTGGATCCGCTATTCTATTTATAAACGCCTACGACCGTGTGTCACATTATTAACGCCATTCTGGGCTTGAGTTATAACCAACACTCTGTATTGATTCATCCAGAGTGTGTATCCCATTCGGCTCCCTATGTTTGTGCCGGTTAAACCGCTTACCACGCGGTTGATGTTTGTTATCGAATTACCATTGCAAAATAGTGCTTGAGTGATTTCGATTGAAATGCTGAATTTCGTGCTACAGAAGAATTTCACGCAAAAGAGCGATTCTGCAATCAACTGTATTTGCGAAACGACGATACCGCTGGCCTGCTTGACGGCCCATTTTGCCAGGTAAACAGCTTTTATTTTAGATTTTCATCATCAGATTGATTGCTTTGTGGTAGTGAGAGCGTCAAATTGATATTCAATACATTGTTTTCTTTTTATATCAATGAACTATTCAACCCATCGTCTCTCTCTGTCTCTCTATTTTTATGGACGTTGGTTCCCACTCGGGCGCATTTGTCCAGGCTCCTCCTGTCAAATTGACATCAGTTTGACAGAAGCTCCGTCAGGGGGCGCAGCGGTCTTGCTCGAAGCAATGCTGCCACCCTTTTTCTGTCGCACTTTTTTTATAATAAGCACATGGCATCCACGTACCTTCTTTGTACCTTCTAACCCATCATCTAAAGGAGATGAGTTACAAATACGAATAAAATTACAATTAGACCTTCGAGTAAAAAAACACTTCCGATGCAATATTTTCATTTCTTTACAATGTTTATTCCAACATAAATGACAAAGAAACAGTGGCTGCGGTCTTCTGTGATATAGCCAAAGCGTTTGATTGCGTGAATCATAAAATTTTCTTACGGAAACTCAGTAGATACGGTATAACTGGAATAAGTCTTGAATGGTTTCATACTCAAATGAAGGTGAACTTACTTGCGACGTCCCACAAGGTTCGGTACTGGGCCCACTTTTATTTTCAATTTACATTAATGACCTATCGTCTATCAACATCCAAGGAAAATTTACTTTATTTGCTGATGATACTACAATTTTATGGCATGATCCTAACAACCATATGTTGTATAAAGTTATTGAAAATGACATTACGAAAGTGAAAGACTGGTTTGACTCCCATCTTCGTTATGGTATTTGCTTCTGGAGTGTGTGTTCTACCACATGTCTTCAATCAGTATTATCAATACAAAAACGTGCAATACGGTGCATATGCAAAGCCAAGCCTAGCAAAGCCATTTACAACGGTCTCAAAATGTTCAATTACCTTCCTCAAGATATAAGAACCATACATGACCTTAGAGCTCTTAAGAAAGAGTTGAAAGACTTGCTTTCTGTGAGACCTTATTATAGCTTAGCAGAATTCTACAATGATAATTTTAATTGAGAAGACTAACTGTAATATATACCGTATTTTATTATTGATTCAATCAATGAATTGATTTATTTAATTATATTGACCATGTTCTTATATCCTGCATGTTTGAATTATGTTATTATTATTTACATGTCTCTTTTCAGTTCATGTTATCACTTTTAATGATTTTACTTTTGTTATACTTTTGTGATTTCATGTATATGTTATTTATATTATGCACAAGGCTTTGTCAATAAGAATGTATTCTTCAGGCAATGAAATATAATCGAATTGAATTGAATTGAGTTAAAATATCACAGCGTTGCGTTGTTATTGCAAAACGCTTTAACTATTCTTTCGAACTTGTTTTTGCTCGAATTTTCAATGCGGGCAGAAAGTGTATTGAAGAGGTTCAAGTCGATCGAATTTTTGGTCGAGCTAATGAGTCTGTATCGCGGATTGATCAACTGATTATTGTTTCTTTTATTATAATTATGCGTATCGGAGTGAGTTCGGTAGATACCGATGTTCTTCTGGATCTGTAACAGGCAATAAAAAATATACGCTGAATATAGTGACATAATTTTGAATTTGGTTGAGTAGTTTCTACAAGATTCCTTATTTCCCACACAAGCTAATATCCTCATAAGCTTTTTCTGTATTCGCAGAACTTTAAGTGAGATACCAGAGTTCCTCATAGTCGCATACCATAAGCAGTGTGTGAATGAAATAGGGCAAAGTAAGATATATGCTTCGAAACTGGGTACCTTTTTCAGTTGTCTTGTGAGATATAGTCGATCAGAAAGTTTAGAGCACAGTTGGTCAACATGACAGTTCCAAGTCAAAGAATATTGGCAAATTCTATTGAATTTGGCAATATTTGCTCATCAACATGTGGTTCGTATATGGTTACATCAACTGCAAACATCATGCATGATGACGGTGACAAGTTTTGCGGTAGGTCATTGATATATAAAATGAATAGGAGAGGATCTGATACAGATCCTTGGGGTACCCCATGTTTGATTATTTGGAATTTGGATTATTTGGATTATTGAGCTGTTCCGCGTGTTCCGTAATTTTCTAGTTTCTGAAGAAATACCGTATGAGAAACACAGTCGAAAGCCTGGCTGAGGTCGTAAAGTGTAATAGCAACTACTTTGCCTGCTTCAAGGCTCTCAACTATATCGCCCACCGCCTCTTCCACGACTTGAACCGCGAATCTACAACTTCTGAAACCAAACTGTCTATTATTAAGAATTTTATATTTTCATAAGCACAGTATTAGTATGTTTCTCCATTAACTTCCCAATAATCGGGGTTATCTAAAAAGGTCGGTAATAACTCATGGAAATACCAAAAAAATTAATAAAATAAATGTCGGCACAATATTTAAAATTTTCAACGCTAGGTCGATATGAAAAACGACTTATCCGAATTATTTTTCCATTATCAAAATAATAAAAATGAAAATGGGTTTTATTCATTCAGATTGCGGTCTCTGTTTCAAGTTCCAATATATCAATATAAAACTTCCCAATTCGCAAATGTAACCTAGTCTTCATCATTCTTGAGTTTCTCTCAAGTATAACGAGTATTTCAACGAATGACTTTTAGTGCCATTGATGTATAACGCTGGAGATGAGTATATTTTCCATTAGCGACGTTTATCATAAGTGTTTCTTTGTTCGTCTTTTGTTAGTATCTCATACATTCGCTTGTTTATTAGATAAATGGAACACCCTATCCTTATTTTGCTTCAATAAATTATCTCCCAAGTGAGAGATCAGATGAATATCCCAAGGCGATGTAAACACTATTTTCATATAAAGTACACTCCTGACACCAAATTTGATTCAAAATAATGCAATGGGAATTCGACTATCTATATCACAGTAATTTAGTGGGTGAAAGATAATCACATTCAAAAATAAAGTACTTGAAAAACTGGAATATAATCCAGGAGATAAGTGTCCATAAGTAATTCGCCTACGGGAGGTTAGGTTAGGTTAGGTCCAGAGTGAGTGGATCTATTCGATCCTCCACCGTAATCAGTAAGGGTTTACTGTGGCTCACACCTATTCACACTCGACCAAATAAACCCAGCTTCCTAAGGAAACCGATTAGTTTGAATGGTGAGTCGTCTTTCAGGTCAGATGGTGAGAGTATGGCTCTGCCGAACTCTAAACACCCGACAGTCCGAGTCTCTGCATATGATGATCCAAATGACAGTGACCTGTGAGAAGGCCTGTTGGATATCGTAGTTCATCCCTATTATAGTCCAACAACTGTTTGGTATCAAGCGTCGAAGGGTAAATAAACGCCTTGGAGTGAGCCAATCCTGGAAGATTCTGCCAGAAGTCCATAAATTTTATTGGCATCCAGGTGTTTAATATTTGTTTGGCAAAGCCTAAAGCGATGCCAATATTACCAATGATAGGTTCTGGTCCGAAGAAGCTGCTTACAGAAGACTCATTTGCAAAGGTCAGCAGCCTCATTGCCTTCCAGGCCAGTATGGCCATAAATCCAGACCAGAGACAATCTGTTGAGTCTTCCTAACAAGGAGAGTCGTTTTTGGCAATTTTCTACCAATTTAGATGTTGCTCGGTAAGAGCCAAAAGCTTTCAACTCTGCTTGACTGTCCGAGAATATTTTCATTGACTTGGGTATGAGATTGGATTCTTCCAACCTCTCCGTACCCAATTTTCGCCTACAAGTACAATCAATCAATAGAAACATCACTGATTGATCGTAAAATAAAAACTCATTGTCAGAATTTTCACTTCTGGAAATTGAAACATGCCCTAGATTTCAGAAAGATTTGAAAAATCGATGCTAATTGAATGTTTCTTCTCTTCATATGAAAGACCACGTTGGTAATTGTACCCTCCAAAGAATGTTGGTCAATGTNAGGTACTAATGCTTGGAGGCCCTGCGGTTGGAAAATCTTCCCTAGTCATGCAGTTCATGACTTCGGAATACCTTCACGCTTATGATACTAGTATAGGTAAGTAGTAAATTAATTTGTGGATATAAAAATCAATATTACGCAGAGTTGTTCCTTATAGGCTTATCTAATTATATTCAGTGTGGTCCACTAAGTGTGAAACAAATAGGAAACTTTTTTATTATCGATTTCTCAGAAAATTTTATTCTTGACAAAAGTTGGTGCATGTTCCAAAACTATACCAAATGTACCTGAAATGGCTACAATAACAATAACAATAAAAATTTTCGAAGCGTCTCTGCATGTCCACCTTCTCTTTCGATGCATCTAATTGTTCGCTCATAAAATTCATTTAATGTAGATCGCAACACATTAGCGGGAATATTTCTGCAATGAACTCGTATTGAAGTTTCAAGCTCATTAACATTATTGAAGGGGCGATCTCTGTAGACTTTTTGTTTTAAGTATCCCCATAAGAAATAATCTAGAGGTGTAAGGTCTGGACAACAAGGAGGCCATCGAGGATAGGTATTTCGTCCTAAACATTTATTACGAAATTTCCTATTCAGCAACTGAGAAACATTTCTAGTAGAATGGGCAGGACATCNAAATACAGTTTGTCATGAAAAGTTTGAAGTAGTGATTCCATCCAGGAATGCACTACTTTCGTTTTTCGTGAGACTATCTTCATCAAACAAGGAATTATACTTTTTTCATGCCTTCAAATATAGCATGAATAGTTCTCAGACATTGAAGACGCTAGATAAGTTTGTGTTGGTAGAGACTTCATCAGTGTAAGCAATATCACGGAGTATTATGATCACCCCTAGCATTCGGGTCCAGAAAAGGGTTCCAAGTTCCTGAAAGACTGATTTGGTCTTCCAGCAACTCTAGGACATATACATATACATAGGACATATACATATCACTGGATCTCCAGAATTTAAACTACCTAGTGAATGTGTGATCTCTTCATATACAACCTTACTAATGAATTTTGGCTGGAAGTGAAAACATCCGAAACTTTAACTAACACAATCTCAAAAAAATTCCCTATGAAAAAAAATACCAACCCAGATATCACTGGTGGATTCTAGGGGCATAGAGTTCAGTTTGTGTTATTCATCAACAGTATAAGCTGGAAGATTTGATTGAGGAAATGAAAAGAATTCAAAACTGGTTAGGGAAAAAATGCAGAATTTACTGTATCTCACTTTCCAGGAAGATTTTTTTCCAGTAGTGTATAACCGAAACGCAGACAAATGAATAATAATGTAAATCTCTTTTTCATTGCCCTAGAGGAAACTTCGAAGAAAAGCACACTTTCTGTTTCATCAAAACAGTAACATCATTCAAATTGTGACATCCACTATTTAATAGTTAGAGAGTTATACACTATTTGAGATACGATGAAGTCGTTTCTTATCATAACATTTTCTCTTACAACTACACTGCCTGATGTAAATTTCAAAGAAAACACCTCTAAAAGTAGCAATAAACCATGCAAGCTCGCCAAAACCCGGCGGTAACTTCAACTAATAATCTAAACAATACATATGCATCAAAGTATACAATGAAGTCTCGACATTCATAAAGTCGTAAAGCGGATTTAGCAGCTCCAAGGGCTCGTGAAATATGCATTCCACCTTTGAAAAAGTGGTGGAGAGTAAGTTGGATATTACAGCTTCATCATCTCCGTGCACTTCGTGGCTTTTTATAATTACCTCGGGAAAAATATTGTGGCAGTTAATTGTTCAGGATCACGAAACCAGGTCGGAATGTACAAAGAAATAACATACAACAACAACCAAACAAATAAAAATTGAAATATTGATAAAAGCTGAAAAAATGGAAAAAAAAGATTTCAAACCAAGTTATGTCACAAAGTTTCGATTTTTAGTATCCACAATCGTCTTCGGTTGATAACTGGACTTATTCCTCCGAGATCTAACTATTTATAGGTCATTCGAGTGCTTTCACCTATTCCCTCTTCCCTCTTTCCCCTTCATTGGTTTTAGCGGGAGATGACCATTTGGCGAGAGTTGGTCGTTTTTCGCTTGATTAGAGGTTTCCATATGTTACCTATCTCTACGCTAGCTTGACTAAATGCGTTGTTGGACAACATATACGCGGCTTCTTTGAATTTTCTCCTGAACCAGTGTTCCTTTTTGTGGATGATTTCAGCTTAAGCCCACTTGATGTTGTATTGATGAGTCCAAACATGCTCTGCTATTCCGGATTTGCTGGTTTCTCCTCGCTGTGTGTGTTTCTTGTGCTCAGAAATGCGAACTTTCAATGGCCTCTTAGTTTCACCGATGTATGATTCTCCGCACTCGCAGGGTATCCAGTGAATGCAATTCTTGGAATCGCAGTCCGCGTTTGGTGGCCTGGTTTTCGTGAGGCTGCTACGGATAGTGTTTCCAGATTTGAAGCAGGTCCTGATGTTATACTTGGACCCAATCCGTCTTATTCTTCCTGATAATCCTCTGATGTAGGGAAGTACAAGTACTGGTTTTGGCGGCTTCTCTTCCTTGAGGAGTTCTTGCTGTCTTCTAGCTAAGGCCTGTTCTACCATCACTTAGGAGTAACCATTCCGTTGAAGGTCATTTTTAATTATGCCTAGTTCCTTTTCGAGACCTTCCTTTGTATTACAGAACCCAAAAGCACGGTCTAATAGACTCTTGATGATTCATCTCTCAGTCGATTGATGGTGGTTGAATTTCTGGTTCAGATACTGTCCTATGTGAGTAGGTTTTCGATATACAGGTGTTTCCCATTTAGTGTCGGTCCTCTTCACCAATACGTCTAAGAAAGGCAATTCGTTGTGGATTTCCTTCTCCATTATTGAAGTGATGGAAGGCCTTACGTTGTTGATATGCTTCAGGAAAGTGTCTAGTTCTGCATTCCCATTGTTCCATATTATGAAGGTGTCGTCTACGTATCTCAACCAGACTCGGGGCTTTTCCTGAGCTTCTTCAATGGCCAAAGTTTCGAACAACTCCATATATAAATTGGCTCTAACAGGTGAAAGTGGCGATCCCATTGGCAGTCCCTTATCTTGCGTAAAGAATTCCTCCTTCAGTTGGAAGTAGCAGTTTCGTAAACAGCATCCTAGTAATTCCATGATTACTTGTATTGGTAGGTTTGTTCTATCTTTCAGGTCCCCATCTTCGGATAGCTTCTTCTGTATGATTTGTAGTGCTTCTTCGACAGGAACGTTGGTGTAGAGGCTTTCCACGTCGAAACTGATCGGTTGGTCCTGCTCTTTGACTTCGATTTCCCCTAGTAGTTCAACGAAATGCCTTGAATGTTTCACAAAAGATGATGTTTTGCCTTGCAGTGGTTTAATTATTGTTAGTAAAAATCTAGACAAGTTCTGAGTGGCTGAATCTCTGGAGCTAATGATCGGTCTGAGCGGAACATCCTCTTTGTGGATTTTGGGTAGTCCATACAAGTGAGGAGGCTTACTGTAGTGCGCTATTAGCGATGATCTACCTTCTTCCGTAAAATAGACTTGGTGTTTTTTCAGAGTCTGGTACAACTTCCTTTCAGTTGATGCAGTAAGGTCTCTTACGATCTTCGTGTATTTTCTTTTCCGAAGCACCTCTTCGATCTTTTGTTTGTAGAGATCAGTAGCGTTTCCCTTATCTGCAGGTGAGATCTTGATGGTGTTGTCTCTACGTAGCCCGTTCAGGGCTCTTCGTTCTTCATTGCTGATGTTAGAAGTTGGATCTGGTTCTCGATCTAGCTGTTCTCTGATTTTGCATCTGAATTCTTCTGCCTCGACCTTGTCTTGTCAACCACCTTCAAACAAAACTATTGTAATTTGCATAATAACCAAAATTGAATGTTTGGACAATCATGAGGTTTTATTTGTACTAGTGAAATAAATAAACATTTCCGCATAAGTCGCTCATTTTCAACTTTAGGAAGAAAGGTGATATGAGCTTTGTTGCTGAGAATTTTTTAATGAATCGAAATGCATGATGAAATATAGGATGTTTTATTAAAAAAAAATATCATTTTATGGAATATTTTTAAATTGCTACTGCCAATTTTTTTGTTTTCGAAATCGAGAAGGCCATTGAAAATGCTATTAGTTCGCCTATTCAACCGAATTCATAGCATCAATAATAATGGAGTTGCCAATGGTGCCGACCTAATTTAGAAAACCCTGTATATTTTAAAACGATCTGTCAGTTTAATGACTGAATTTGACATTCGAGAACACATTTTGAGTGGGTGAAATATCATTGCTTACATGTGCATGAAAACAATTGTAACCACAAAACTGCGAAACTGTAATGGGCCTCGAGGGTAGTATATTGTATATCTGGGCATGTATCTGTTGAAAATTTCACATTCATATGTGATTCATTCATAACTTATTCAAGTAACACTTTATTCTGAGATTTCCATTTGACAGTTTACACAATCACAACACGTGTTTTGCTGTACAATAGCATAATCACGCTTTCTCATGACACACGTGTTCCGCTATACGATAGCGTCATTTCATAATATAACAGTTTACAAAACCGCAACACGTGTTCTGCTATAAGATAGCTAATTTTATAATATGACGGTTCACAAAACCACAACACATGTTTCGCTGTATGATACCTCCAATTAATAATATGACAGTTCACAAAACCACAACACGTGTTCCGCTATAAGATAGCTACTTTTATAATATGACAGTTTACAGAACCACAACACGTGTTTCGCTACACGATACCTTCATTTGATAATATGACAGTTTACAAAATCACTGCACGTATTTCGCTATAAGATAGCTACATTTTGTAATATGACAGTATACACAACCACAACACGTATTTTGCTATACAATACCTTCATTAATCGATATGACAGTTTACAAAACCGCAACACGTGTTCCGCTATAAGATAGCTCCATTTCATAATATGACAGTTTACAAAACCACAACACGTGTTTCGCTATACACTAGCAAAGAACATCATATAACAAAACATATATGTCGCGGTTTCGTAAACTGTCTAGTGGAAATGTAACCTTAACGTGTTACTTGAATGTTTTC